CAACAACCTTCGCAAGATTCTGAAATGCTGACTCAACTTAATGTGTGAATCAAAGCTAGAAGCCTTTCAGTCATAATTTTCATCACAGTTTTTGGAACTGTAAATCTGTGAACATTTTAATTACAGTGTCATGCATATGCTTCTAGAAACAGGTGACCTTATATCAGGGGTGAAATCTAGCAGATTCTGACAGGTTCTGGAGAACCGGAAGCGGAAATTTTGAGTAGTTCGGAGAACTGGCAAATACCACCTCTGGCTGGCCCCAGAGTGGGGTGGGAATGGAGGTTTTACAATATCCTTCCCCCAGGAGTAGGGAGTGAATGGGGATTTTGCAGTATCCAAAGCCACCAAGCCACACCACTCCCACCAAGCCACGCCCACAGAACCGGTAGTAAAAAAAATTTGAATTTCACCACTGCCTTATATGCACACTGCTTTGAATTCCTGGCAGAGAGGTAGATATGGATAGATAAATATTAGCTCTCACCCAATTAAAATGTTCATAAGCAATTGAGAAAGTTGATTGCTTTCATTCTTCTGAAGATGAGAAACAATCAATGGCTCCAGACCCAACTATTCTGATCTTGTTGACATGGAGATATTTTTGAGCTGCTATGTATTCTACATTGTTCTATCACAGCTTAAACCAGCTGGCTTTGTAATAACTGTGCCCTAGATAACTCACACTCCTCAGAATTCATCAAAGTTTATATTTTGACTGATCTTCCTTTGCAGAAGCTGCTTAAATTTACTGCAAGTAAAATGGGATTAGAGTTAATTCCTAGGGGGATATGCTCAGGCTCTTAATTCAACTTTTTCATGATTTATTCTTGTGCAAACACAAAAGAAAACATTGTGGCTAATTAGGAAGGATCCTGAGATATTTTGTGTTAAATTCCAGCCTGAACACAAGTTGTACAACTGATGGCATTTACAAATCCATTTAACACATGATGGCAGTAAAATATATTCAGTGCATCATTGTACATATACCAAGTGACATAGCTTAGCTAACAATGTTTGTACGGTGAATATACACATGGACAATTAACACTTGCTTATAGAAAACAATTGTTTGATTATGAGTAATAGACAACTAAAAAGCATGAAACTATTTCTACATGTTACATGGGCATGGAAAATTCTGGTTCTGTCCATTAAACAATATCTTCTGATAGGACATAGAAGGCACACTGCCTCTATTGCAACTCCTGCCATCTGGAATAGTATCCCCTAAGAGATTTGAACAGCCCAACAATCTTGCCAGTCTTTAAAAGAGCATGGAAGAACTGGCTTTTTTTTTTGCACAATTCTCAGTCAACAAGGATGTGTGTCAATTTGAGAAGGTATTGCTGACTGTAATGCTAGGCGAAATCACAGTATAGAAAGAACATTCTCCTCCTATCTCTCCGACTGATCGCAAACTGTGTTGACAGGGGGGCAGCGGTCGACCCCGAGGTGCCTTGTTTGTGGGGTGCCATAAGGATCGGTCCTCTCACTCCTCCTGTTCAACATTTATGTGAAGCTGCTGGGTGAGATCATCCGTGGTTTTGGGGTGGAGTTCCATCAATACGCTGATGATACTCAGCTGTACATCTCCACCCCAGACCATCCCAACGATGCCTTGGAAGTGATGTCCCAGTGCCTGGAGGCTGTGCGGGTCTGGATGGGGAGAAACAGGCTTCGACTCAACCCTTCCAAGACTGAGTGGCTGTGGCTGCCGGCGTCCCGGTATAGCCAGCTGGCGCCATCGCTGGTTATTGGGGGCGAATCATTGGCCCCCACGGAAAGGGCCCGCAACTTGGGTGTCCTCCTGGATGCACGGCTGTCTTTAGAAGAGCATATGACGGCCCTGGCCAGGGGGGCCTTCTATCAGGTTCGCCTGATATGCCAGTTGCGTCCCTTTCTGGATCGGGACTCCCTACGCACGGTCACTCAAGCGCTCGTCACTTCTCGTCTGGACTATTGTAACGCTCTCTACATGGGGCTCCCCTTGGGGTGCACCCGGAGGCTCCAACTGGTGCAGAATGTGGCCGCGCAGGGGATTATGAGAGCGACGGGGCGCTCCCATGTGACTCCTCTCCTGCGCGAGCTGCATTGGCTCCCGGTGGACTTCTGGGTGCGCTTCAAGGTGTTGGTGATCACCTTTAAAGCGCTCCATGGCTTAGGGCCGGGGTACTTACGGGACCGCCTTCTGCCACCAATTGCCTCCCACTGGCCAGTTCGCTTCCACAGAGAGGGCCTCCTCAGGGTGCCGTCGGCCAGGCAATGTCGGCTGGTGACCCCCAGGGGGAGAGCCTTCTCTGTGGTAGCACCTACCCTCTGGAACAATCTACCCCCATCTGCACTGTTATGAAAGGTGTTATGAAAGTCATATTTCAGGTTGATAATAATTGCATGTTACATTTGTTACAGCCCAGTGAATGATGGCAATGGATGAGCATAGTAAAAAATTCTGCAACATTTTAAATGAATGTGATCCATTTAAACATTTTTCCATTAGGAGACATAAAGGAATTAGTGAGAGTGACAAAGTATATAGAAAATGTATTTGTACTCAGAATTCCAAGAGCAAAGGGGAATTGCAATAGTTTGGTGCATATTTGCTTAGAAAAGATTTATTTGTTTCAAATTTGTGTTTTAAGCATAAATTTACTGATGGAAAATGGAAAAGAAATGAAACATGTTTGATTTAATTGTTATTTATTTAAATGGCTGAGGAATAATTGATTTAATTGTTTATAATGAATTAATGAAGGTTACAAGTATAATGAAAGTATAATTAAATATGAGATAGATCACTTTTTCTAGTGGTGTCAAGAGTAGGTTTTTGGGCAAAATGAACATTGGTAAAAAGGAAAGAAAATAGAGAGAAGCTGCAGACAGAGAAAGTACAATCGTTTTATGAAAAATTATTATGAGAGATTAATCTGTCAACTGAATGAAGGGAGATTGGATTCATATAAAAGAATAATTGCTGGAAAAATAGAGGATGACTGACTTCTATTGTACACAGAGAAAAAGAGAGTTGCAAAGAATGTAATCAAAGAAAGCAAAGAACTGTTAAGAAATGAAAAGTTTATTTTGGAAGGGGAGTGAAAAGGGATAAACAAAAATCCTCCAACAAAATGAGCGGAAATAAAAAAGACATACAAATGATCTGGGATGACAGGGAAGTGAGGGAATGCTGGAAGGAATACTTTAGAGATTTATATGGGAGTGATAATATGCCAAAGAGTGAAATTGAAATTAATGCTATAAATGTTACTTTCAAAAAAATTATGCAAGTGAAGTCATATATGCTCCGAGCACATTGAAAAATGATATGGTTGCAGTTTAACCGGAGACATGTTAAAATAAAGATGTGGTTTATTTATGGGATGACTGTGGATTAATGTAATAGCTATGTGAAAACTGAAGCTGTGCCTGATAATTGGAAGAATATGGTTATTGTTTTCCCAAATAAAAAGAAAGGTAGCAAGAACGAATGCAAAACTATAAGGGAATTAGTTTATTAAGTGTACCCAGGAATGTGTTTGGCAGATTTCTGCCTGAAAGATAACAAGAGGTACAATGAATGAATGTGATGAATGCTATATGGCTCGATGTCAGATAGGGTTGCATGAGCACTTCAGATTTTTACTTTTCAGCAGCTCATTAAGACTGCATGAATGTGAAATAATATTTACTGTATGTTTGTTGATTCAGATGACAGTGAATAAGCTTGAATTATCAAATAGTTTGTTCAAATACAAAGTTGACGATTGGTTGTTGACTACAGAAAGAGCTGTATTTGATAGAAGTAAAGCATGTGAGAATGAATAAATGCTTAGTGAATTATTCAATATTTCCATAATGTGCCAGGAGTAAATCAAAGATATATGATGTCTCTTTGGTTATTTGTTGTACTGAGGGATACCTGTAAGAAATTCTTTGGGGAAACATTACAGCTACATTTGTCAGGATACCATTTACTGTATATGTTGTTGATGCAATTTTATCCGCTGATAATACAAGTTTTCGATTGACTGTATGATATAACTAGAACTATAGATCTGAAAATTAATGTATCAATCAGCATGTGCTATAGTTGTGTCTTGTAGAGTAAATGGAATAAATGATTGAAAATTACACATCAGTGATGAAAACTAGAATAAGATCAATTTGTGTATATTGGTAGAATGTTTAATAAAGATGGATGGAGAAATGTTAAGATATACAAATGCTAGTAAAAAGTTAGTAGGTAGCATGTGGTCCATTTCATGGAATGAATGTTTGTCACCAAAAAAAGCACACTTCTGCTCACTTTCTAATCGAAAAGTGAGAATTGGTATGTCGGGAGAAACAAGTTGAATGCAGTGGGAATGAGTTACTTAAGAAGTGTGCATGGTAAATAAGGAGAGATAGGATCAAGAATGAATGGGTTCTGAATAACTGTGGATCAAAAAGGTAACCAGAAGGAAAGAAGTATGTTGAGGAGATTCACTCATTATAAATAATGAATGAGGATCAAAGCAAAGCAATTTGAATAGAACAAGAGGAAGGGGAAGACTGGGATAGTTATGGTTGGATCATGGAGCAGATGCGATTGATTTTCAAAAGAAAGACATGAGAAGTTTTAAAAAAACAAAGACAATATATGTGTTGGTGTAAAAATGTGGTTTGCAAGGATAGAATGGATGGAGAATTTGGGAACCATCTGAGCATGGTAGGACATGGAAAGTGAGAACTCCTTTGAAATATCAGAATAGATTTTTACAAACTAGGGATTTCTCCATAGGGCTTGTGATGCCTATAGAGGGTAAATGCCTAAGTATATTGCTTCTGAAGCTAGTTTTGTTGGGTACAGCTGTAACAAAACAATTGATGGAATACAAGTATGCTTTTCCAATGAAATCCAATCTATAACCATTCAGCAAGCTAGCATTGTTCACTTCAAGGGAGTTATCACTATATATGGGCATATAGAACTATAGCCTTAATGCATTAATGAACAATACCTTTCATAATGTTACTAGCATTCCTCTGCTTCATGCTGTGTGTTTGTGACAAGCTGGAATAACCCCTTTCCTCCTCACTCTGCTGTGGGTAGCTGTTTCTGCAGAGACCAGTTTGACTTGGCTGATGTCTTTCTCCAAACTCAGCAGAAACACCCTCATTTCCTAGTGTACAAGACAAGATAGCAGCTTTAATTCCAATTTCTGTTCCTGAAGCAAGAATAAATACTTTATGAGAGAAACTGAGGTAAATTTACCTGTGATGACTTCGTGATTTTCAAAGCCAGTCCCATTTCTTGGTAAATGTTGAGTCTGTTGAGTTAGGGAAAGTTCCTTTTTAAAAAGATAAGCAAATTTTGCAAATTTGAGTTAAGTTATTCTCTTGACTCTTTAATAAGGTAGGTGCTGTGGAAAATATAGCCTATTATGGTATCTTGTGTCGAGCAATTACAGCACATAAAATAACAACATTATTAGAAAGATCCATCCTAAATCCTTTCCTGCAAACTATATTTCTGTCACCTCAGCACTTTATGTAGATTTCTTTTTCATTTCTGCATTTTAACAAGTTATTTTGTTTGTGCCATTGAGTTTTCTGCTTCTTGTGGAACAAAATGCTAGAGGTCCAGTAAATATTTAACTTTATTTTTATGCTATCATGTCTTAATTTAATTTCATACACAGATAGTATTCAACGTATGACTATAATAAGCCTGACAATTTTGGTTGTAAATCATGGCAGTAGTAAATGGGCCATCATCATGTGACTGACCCGATTGTATGAAATGTTTATGTGGCAGTTGCAAAATGAACATCACAGTTGGTAAGTGAATCCATTATTTGTTATGGGGCATTTTTTGCCAAAAATCAGAGGAAAACATTGGTTTTTGGCAAAAATGTCATAAATCATCTTGTACATGTGAACGACTCAACCATTGCTAGACTTGTCAACTGGTAAACTGGCAATTTGAGAGCTAAATACCATGTAATGGAGTGAGCTTCCCACTCTGGTGGAAAAGTAACAATGTTCCATGCTCCTTCAGCACATAGTCATGCTGGCCACATGATCAGAAAAGCATTTTCGGATAACACTGGCTCTTTGGTTGTGAATTGGAATGAGCACACCCCTATAATTGGACACAACTGGCAGGGGAGACCTTTACAATCGCTAAGGTCATAAGTTGAGGATTACCTATACTTTATTAGCATGTAAACCTTGCTCCCCTTTTCTTTTTTCCAATCAACGTTCACCTTTGCCTATTCTGATGAGGCTGAACTTCTATTAAACAAGTATTAATTCTACCTTGATGTGCAATAGATCACATTAGTAGGGTGCTTATTTTAATTTGGTTGTTGCTGCAACAACTATTCTGAGGAACAGGGAAAACAAAGCAATTTCTGGCTTGAAAAGAAGACATGGCTCTAGTTCCAACAAGATGTAGTTCAATGGTGAGAAAAGGAAGGTCCTACACTTAAGGAGGAAAAACAAGATGCATAGGTATGGGATAGGCAGTACCTGGCTCAACAGTAGTGCCCATGAGAAGGATCTAGGTATCATGGTGGGCCACTGCTTAAGTATGAGTCAGCAGTGTGCTGTCCCTTCTAACCCTATGATTCTATGAGATGGGCCTGATTCAGTCTCAGAGGCAGTCAGCTCCAGATGCTGAGTACAAGTTACTGACTCCTCTTTTGGCTCCTACATTCTCATTATTTTCTCCCTCAGGTAATAAGCTGAAATGAAATGAGAAAAACAGGAAGTGCTGGATTGGGGAGGGAAAGCCATTATTGAAAAGTGATGAAAGAAGCATCTGGGTAACAGCCATTCGGGAGGGAGCCTTGCCTTAACTCAGTTTCTCCAGACAAGAAAGCTGAAGAGCAAAGTTAACCGAAGAGAGATTTCCTGCACTGGGATCAGTTCAGCTTCATGATGGATTTTTGGGGCCAGATGGATTTTAGGGGCCAGAAAAAAATCTGCCTTCTTGCCAGAGAAGGACGAGCACAAAACAGACTTGTTTTACAGACTATTTCAATCCAGGACATGTCTTCCCTTTCAAGGTTCAAAATAACTGATGGGGAAAAAAACTGAACCCTGCCTGATACTCCATAAAGTTGTTACCACATGGAACAGCCCAGGTGTTCCCATCCTGATGCCTATAAATGTGTTAAATCTCAATAAACGTTAAACAAACTGGGGAAGGATTATGGGAATTTAAAGTACAGTTTAGCATACCTCTGATCTGCAGCAATACCATCTCATACAAAGTACTCCTTAAACTAATACAATTAAATGAAGTTACAAAACCAGGCAAGCAGTTAAGCACCTGGAAATACTGAAACTTTCCTTTAAGAACCACTGAACTTTAGTTGTATGAAAGTGCCAGGAATCTGGAATCTGGATTATAGTCTCCAAAACAGAATTATAGTTTCTCGTATACTTCAGCTGGAATCCTTTTCCATACTAAGCACATTCAAAGCTGGGCTGACATATCTTATCTTTATTTTACAAATATACTGATATTGCAAATAGCTCCACACAGAAGGGTTATTTCTAACAGGCAAAGCAGACATACATTAAGGTAGTGATAGGGAATGTTCCAAATATTAGGTCAGTATGAGTGGTCTTTAAATGTAATGTGTCAAGGCCTATCCTATCATTTGGTGGATAAAATATTAGTCTCAAATGGGCAAATTCTAGAGAACAAAAGGTTATCAGTTATCTTGCCATTTAATTTGGATTCCTCAGATGATCAGCTCTGCTAAAGGGCACATGCTACCTACCTAGGCCACCTGATCTACTGTACCAGGTGGAATGAAGGATGCTATCTAGATGTTAGCCTGTTTATATGTAATAGGCATGTGCCCAATTTTAATTTCATCTTGGCTTCTTTTTTGCACATCAGAATGTGTATTTCCCCAAACTTTGCCCCAAGGAAAGTGGTATTGTGAGAATAGAGCCCACCCAAGATCATCATAAGGTTTATGTTCTACTTGTTCAATTATATAAATCAAAATTTATGTTATTTAGGATCTATGTTGAGGATTTAGAATTCTAGCCAGTAAAATTAAGATTGAACGTATTATGCATGTTTGGAATTATGTCACAATAGATTTCTCTGACTTTGTTTCTGAACAGTTTATTGTTTCCATATTTAGTTTTCTTTAACTGTGGTTGAAAATAATGTATGCTTAAACATACCAGCCTTTTATATGCAGGTGGGGCATAGTGTCCATTCTTCAGTGTAACAGAAAGTTGGATGGTTTCCTAGAATGAAAATTACAATTGTAGACACACTTAATGCTCTAATGGTTCTTTATATCTCCCTCTCATCATGTCTGAAATGCTCCACTTCATACTATTGCCTTAAAAGAAATTGTTACTCTAAAACAGGAGTGTCCAACCTTGGCAACTTTAAGACTTGTGGACTTCAGCTCCCAGAATTCCCCAATTGCCAAGGTTGAAAACTGCTACTCTAGAACTATGCTATTCAAACTATACCCCTCAGAACCCCATTAAATCATCCAAGGGTTCAACATTTCTGTTTACATAGTATGAAATGTATAATTGCAACATTAACTTATTTTCTACAAATAAAACTTCTTATACGAAACACATTAATGCATTGATTTTTCACATTGAAAAGTGTTCCTTGGGTATCTAAAATTAGAAGTTTGCTGCTCTAAAATTACTATTCCTATGTATGGAAAGCTATTACAGTTGTCAAGAGAAAAAGTTGAAATTGTCTGCAACCCTGATGTGTAAGCCTCGGCTATGAATACATATAATATAATTACTCATTACTATTGGACTAACTTAGACCAGTTCTGTAGGAAATGCATTCCATTTTACTGTCTGAAGATCGGTTTTTCTCAGCTGGAAAGGAAAATATTTTATTCTAATAGTTGGTTTCCAAGATGAATTCAGTGAACTCTTGTACACTAGCAAATAGAGTATGTGAAACTCTTTAAGGCCTTGTGCTAGCACATATTTTGAAACATTAGCCAATGTTTGAGCATGCAGAGAACATCCTGGGGTCACAGCTGTATTTTCACGCAAGGATTTTATTTCTTTAAATGTATTTATTTAAAACATTTATATAGCCACCCATATTATTACCAACTCTGGGCAGCTCTCAAAGTATAGTGTTTTGCAATATTAAAACACTCTTTTGTGCAAAGAAGAGGACTTATGAAGTCCCTCTGGATCCATCCCCTAGATTGCAAATGAGGCTTTCACGCCAAACAAGTTCAGCCACACTATACACATCCTTGAGTGAGAGATGTTCTTTGTCACCATATACTTAGACTCATTGTCAGATGTAAATGCCTTATTCCCTAATGTGTAAATAATGTATATATGGGATATCAGGGGTTAACTTATTCTTTGACTCTTAATGTATTCATAATTCACCACTCCCACTCTTGGCTCCACCCTTTGTATATATAAGGAGCCACCTTCACCATTTTCTTTGCTTCTATCTGTGAATATTCAGTGAATATAGAATGCCTATTATAATTAAAGAGAAATATATTTAAACCTCTAACTCTCATTATTATTATTGAGTCTGATCCTAAAAATATTGCAACAAGCTGGTAGCAGAGGATGGTTAATTGACTCAATAAATACCTAAAAATGTCTAAGAAAGATAGGCCCAACACCAGGGCCTACAGCAAAGAAATAGAAACTGAACAAGAAATAATCATCGATTCCACAAACGCGATTTCGAGAGAATCCGAAGAATACACCACTGAAGAAGAAGAATTAATAAATGAAAATGATGGCCAGGAGGAAATCGAAATAGAAAATAACGAACTCAGGTCAGAGATATTGAAGTTATTAAAAAGCCAGAAGAATGATGAAAGCCTCATCGCGAACCTCCAAGAAATGCTGAAGAACAGCGGAGCAGCGAGAGAGAAAAACATCGCTAAAGAGAAACCCAAAGACCAAAAAACTGTGAGTGATATGACTACAGAGAAAGTCGTTATGAAAAAGAAAAAATGTGATCCCGCGCGAAATTTTGAATGGCAGCCATCTTGGTTTCAACAAGCCTCCAAAGTGAGCGAAGCAGAGCCAATCAAAATGCTCAGTTCAAAATTTCTGGCGCGAAAAACGTTATCAGACAACGAAAGTGAAAAGGAGGATTCAAACTCTTCGGAAGAGCCAGAATCAGAAAATGAAGACGACTTAACGAAATCCCAAGTAAAGTCAGCAATGAAGACGCTTTTTGCTGCATTTGGGCCAAAATTAAAAATTTCCAAAGCGCCAACGAAGAAGCAAGCGAACAAGCCGATACTTCAAGACCTGCACGCTCCCATCCTGACTTCGAGAACGACGACGCCCCAGCCCAGAGAGCCATGTCGATTCCGCCCTACACCGCAGACCGAAGCAAGTGCCAACGCACCCAAAAGAAAGAGAAGAACAGTCGCCGCCATCAGAACTCCTAAGACCGAGCCAGAGACCGACTCGTCTGAAGAGGAGCGGAGCGAGCGAGCTACAATGGAGAGAACCTTCCACGACGACGTCAAAGAAGAAATGAACAACACGCATGTGCGAAACTACGTAGACGGTCCGGAAAGACTTGAACTGGCCAGAGAACCGCGCAGACTCGTTGCGAGCATCCCCATGCCGTTTTGCAATTTCCTACACTTGCGAGACCACGGACTACCTCAGGTTGTAAGTAATGGACAAAATAATGTGGGTAACTTACCCAGTGACTTCCCAAAACTTAGGGTTGATGGCATTAATTTACAAGAATGGTATCAACAGCTCCAGGTTGTCTTTATGAAAGAAAATTTACTATTTTTTATCACTAGTCCCCCAAGAAGACCTTGGACTTTAAAAATAGATTGTTTTTACCATAAGGCATTTTTCTTAATAATATCTAGCGTGTCTCCTGCAATGTATCATAGTATCAAACCAAATCTAACTGTTTCAGAAATAATTCAATGCATGTTTAATTTGTTTCACAGCGATAGTGTAGCTACCACCACAAGAATGTCTAAGGACTTCTTTTCTTCCAGAGTAAAACCAGGGGTTTCCATAAGTGAGCACTTAATATCTTTAAACAAAATAAGAGCTGAGCTGCATTTGAGGGGGGAAGTGATTTCAGATCAAACGATGAAAAGTGTTATTATCAACTCACTTGATTCATCATGGGATAGTTTTATGTCACACTTAGACACCATCAATCTAGGATATTTATCAATAGAAAGTCTGTCTAACAAATTGATAGCAGAAGACAATTCAAGAAAAAATCGTTATAGCAATCACACAGAACACAAATCTTTTAGGAAGGTAGCTTTCCAAGAAAAATATAATGAAACTTTTAAATGCCACAATTGTGGGTCCAGGGAACACAATAGAAGAGATTGTCCCAAAATTTCAAAGGAAAGACATAGGTCAGAATATAGGAATAAATACAATTATACACAGTCTTCCACAGATAGACATAAATATAGAAGCCCACCAAATTACAGAGAAAGTAGAGGGGGCAGAGAAAATTCAAAAGAGAGAAAATCTGGTTCACTGAATGGACTAAATAAACAAGACAGCACTAAAACGCAACAAAATGAGAACAATAATTGGCTTATTGATTCTGGGGCAACTAATCACACCACTAATAACAAAAATATATTGTCTTCATTTACAGAAGATAAGTTTGTAATAAAGGTAGCTAATCAAGAAAAAGTTCAAGTATTAGGCAGAGGGAATGTGACCTTGCCTGGTCTAGGAAAAATAGAGGGGGTATTGTTAATACCAGAAATACCTCATAATATACTAAGTGCCATAAAACTAAGCAGAGATTCTGACATCAATATAGTTTTCTCAAAGGGAAAAGCAACTTTAGAGAAGAATAAAACAAATGTAGGCACTGTGATGATTAAAGGAGGCCTACCCTATCTGATAACAAAAGAAAGATGGTTACATAACATTGATTCAAATATGGAAGATTGTATTGAGGCAGATGATGAAAATATTAGTAACAGTGACAATGATGAATGTAAAATATCTCATGATCACACAGATACACACAATGAGAAGAAACCAAAAATAGGTAAACCAATTCATGACGAGTGTGCTCATATCTTACATAGGAAGTTAGGACATGCAAGTTTTCCTGTAGTACAAAAAATGACTGAACACGCAGAAGGTGTCAAAATAAAAAATTGTGAAAATTATTTGGAATGCTCAGTATGTAAATCTACTAAATTAAAAACTAGTCCCAGGCCAAAAAAATCCACCAGATCAACTAACAAAATTTTTGACTTAGTGCACATGGACTTAGTTGGCCCATTAACTCCATCAATCACTTATAGAAAACGTTACTTCCTAACAATAGTAGACGATTACAGTCGCTATGGTTTTGTTTACACATTAAAACACAAGGATGAAACCTTTCAAAAATTTAAGGAATTTTACAAACGCATAGAAACACAACATAATATCAGAATAAAACAAATTATGACAGATAGGGGATGTGAATTCATGTCTAAAGAATTCTCCCAATGGTTAAAGGATAGAGGAATGCTACATTACACGTCTAGTCCATTTTCTGCGTTCCAGAACGGGATTGCAGAGAGAAAGAATTCCACATTACAAACCATGATTAGGTGCACATTAGAGGATGCTGGTTTAGGCAAACAATTTTGGTCAGAAGCCCTACATTATTCAAATTACACTCAAAATAGAACCTGATCCAGTATTGTGAATAAGACACCATATGAGGTGATGTATAATAGGAAACCAAAATTAGCACACATGCACATATTTGGGGTCACTGCAGACGTACACATACCTAAACAGTTGAGAAGAAAGGGAGAAAACGTATCCAGAAGACTAAGATTTATGGGATATGAAACTGGCACCAAAGGGTACAGATTCATTGATAATAATAATAAATTTATAGTTTCCAGAACAGCTGTGTTCCATGAACAGGCCAACTGGTCTAAATTACATCTTAATGAAATATTTCCAAATAAATGCAAGGATACCAAATCTCGTGAGGAAGGGACAATAGAAAATCAAAATGTCAACAAAAATAAAAACAAAACCAAAACATGGACAAATAGTCAACACAAAATAAAGACAGACACATTAACAAAAAGGAAGCAAGATATTTGCATGACTACCATAGCAAACCAGAAAGAGCTATTAGGAACAACAGAAATCAAATACCAAATAAATACAGAGATTACATAATGCATATGGATGGTGAACAAATAACACCTAATACATATGAGGAAGTATTAAAACTCCCTCGTGAAGAAAAGGAAAAATGGGAACTAGCTATGAAAAAAGAGATGGAAAGTTTGCAAGGATTAAATGTATTCACACCTGCGATTGCACCTAAAGATAAAACAATTATTGGTACCAGGTGGATTTATAAAATTAAGAACCTAGAAGGAGGCAATACCTTATACAAAGCTAGATTGGTTGCACAAGGTTATGCACAAAAATATCCGGAGGACTATACTGACACATACTCCCCCACAGTAAGAACAGAGAGTGTTAAAACAGCTCTAGTAGTAGCATCCGCACTCAATCTTGATGTATTTCAATATGACATACAGACTGCGTACCTACACGCAAAACTAGATAAGGAAATATATGTAAGAGCACCTCACAGTCAATACACTAATAAAAATGAAATTTGGCTATTGAACAAGAGTTTATACGGATTAAAGCAATCTGGCAAAAGATGGTACGATTGCTTGGTAAAAGTACTTAAGACCATGGATTTCAACGCTACCACTGCTGATAACTGTTTCTTTGTCAAAAAGAGTGATGATCACGTTGAATTTGTATTGATTTATGTAGATGATATTTTATATATAGGAAAACACAAAGAGAGAAGAGAAATCTTCGTAAACAAGCTAAATGAACATTTCTCGTTGAAATCTCTAGGTAAAGTAAACAAATACCTTGGTGTACAAATTAACAAAACTAGAAGGGGATTCAAACTTACTCAGAAAGATAAGATTATTGAACTTCTAAACAAATGCAATTTATACAATGCCAAACCCTGTGACACTCCTATGCAAACTGATTTCCTTAGAAATACTGATGAATCTTCCCCTGAATTCAAGGATAATACATTTTATAGATCAGTCATAGGTTCACTTCTTTATATATCTAATTGGACCAGGCCAGATATTGCATTACCACTCAATTTATTATCAAGGCACGTTAGCAAACCAACAATGTATCACTGGGAGGCTGTCAAAAGAATTTTAAGATATCTGAAAAGTACATTGGACTTTTGCCTAGTATTAGAACCTAGTGACAATAAAGAACCAAAACTTACATGTTACGCAGATGCGGATTGGGCTGGAGATATATCATGCAGAAAAAGTACTTCTGGTTATATTTTTCTGTTAAATGACTGTCCAGTTTACTGGTACACTGGTAAACAAGAACTGGTAGCCACTTCAACCACAGAAGCGGAATATGTTTGTTTATCCAAAGCTGCAAATAACCTTGTATGGTTTAATGATTTAATTTCAGATGTTTGGAAAAAACCTGCTTTGCCTTTTGTTATGCATGAAGACAATAAAGCGGCCATTGAAATATCTAGATCCGATGCCATTGGACAAAGATCCAGGCATATAGATATAAAATTTAAGCATGTGAGACAATTGTCTCAAGATGGATTTATCAAAGCAGTGCATTGTGATACCTCTGAACAATTAGCTGACATATTGACGAAGCCTTTACCTTCTAAACAGCACAAATACTTAACTTCCAAATTGTATGTCTTATATTGTCCTGAATCTGAATGTAATTGGTGTTGTATAGCGAACCGGCATTTAGAGGGGGATTTGTCAGATGTAAATGCCTTATTCCCTAATGTGTAAATAATGTATATATGGGATATCAGGGGTTAACTTATTCTTTGACTCTTAATGTATTCATAATTCACCACTCCCACTCTTGGCTCCACCCTTTGTATATATAAGGAGCCACCTTCACCATTTTCTTTGCTTCTATCTGTGAATATTCAGTGAATATAGAATGCCTATTATAATTAAAGAGAAATATATTTAAACCTCTAACTCTCATTATTATTATTGAGTCTGATCCTAAAAATATTGCAACACTCATTTTTGTTAATCTTTCCTCTGTGGGAGATAAAGAAAAGCTTTGGCCATTTTAAATGAAGATAGACCTAGAAGAGGAAACAAACAAAGAAGCCTGTTAACCAAGGCTACAAAAAGTAAGGATTAGGATCATTCCATTTAGGCTCTGATTAAAGTAGGGATTTTATTGAAATTAGTTCCTTTTTCACACTCTCAAGGCTGAGACTGGCCCAAAGTCACCCAGCTGGTTTTGTGCCTAAGATGGGTCTAGAACTCAGTCTCCTGGTTTCTACCTTAGAGACTTAACCCGCCCCCATTCCCCCCTAGCTTTCCTTGGCATATTACAAGGTCTGTTTTCTAGTGGAGAACTATACTTCACTTCAAAATGGTTTCCTTCCTTCTGCTTCCCAAGTAAAATATCCCTTCAGAATTCAAAGAATAAGCCTGTACAAGTACAAGTAGTCTTCGATTTAGGATCATAATTGATCCCAGAATTATGGTTGTAACACTCATGCTGGTCTTTAACCAGGTTACCACATGATTGTGCCAGGGGTGGGTTTTTTACTACTGGTTCTGTGGGCATGACTTATTATGTGGGTGTGGTTTGATGGTCATGTGACAATTATTTAGGATTTAGCAGAGGTACTGGTCTACCAGGCTTTTAACTGCTTGCAGAGCTGTACCAGTCTATCCATTTGTTTTTGGAGGCACCGATCTACTCATTTGTTTTTGGAGGCACCGGTCTACCCATTTGTTTTTGGAGGCACCGGTCTACTCATTTGTTTTTTGAGGCACCGATCTACCACCACACTGCCTTTTAACACTGATCAGTTGTAGGGGGGCCCTTTGAAGCCCCGTGGCAAGAGTTTAAACAGGTTTTTTTCCTTCTAACCGATCAGCTGGGACTCGGGAGGCAGCAAATAGATTGGGGCGGGGCCAAATAAAAGGTAAGAATAACGCAGGGGGGGGCGGGGGACCCCAGCTCCCGAACAAAGAGAACCAGTTTGGTGACGTCATATCGTCACCACTACCGGCTCGGCCGAACCGGGCTGAACCAGGAGGAACCCACCACTGGATTGCGCCCAATTTTTTGACCTTTTTTGCAGTGGTCTTTTTTACATGGCAATTATAAAGTGAATGCTACAGTCATTAAGCAAAGACCAAGGTTGTTTAGTGAATCCATTGTTTACAAAAGGCATTCTTTCCTGAAACTACAAGTAAATGTTGGTTTCTGACAAAAAACCAAAACCAAAACCCAAGTCATGATTATGTGACTGCAGGATGCTGCAAATGGCTGTAAATGCAGGCCAGTTGCTGAGTGTCCAAAATGTGAAGGCGTGACTGTTGGGTGGCGGTGATAGCCATTGGAACTTTGAATCCAGGTTGTAAGTAGCCCTGAGTAGATCTGTTATAACTTTGAACAGTTGCTAAGTGATCGATCATAAATTGGGGACTATCAGTAATCATTTCTTACCACCTATGTATCACAGATCCAACACTGTAATTGATGATACCTTTTCATTTGATGCTTGATCTTCAGAGCAAATCTCTGGCAGACTACTGGAAGCAGGTCTTCTTACTTCCATGGATAGTTCATCTTCTAAAACTAAAACCATAAATAATTAAAATTGCTGAGTGTATTGCATCAATCAATGGCTGAACTCAAGGATTCTAACATTTCCTACTTAATTAAGTCAGAGAAGTATACCCCTTAATTATTATATCTCTTAATTAATAACACAAACTGTAAGATTTCCAATTCCAGAAACTAAATCATCAAATAAGTAAAGCCTTTAATGTGTTAGGCAACAACATTTGATCATAATTAATATTTATGAATTAGGAAGTAATCACTGAATTCCTTAATTAAGTAATATTTGCTTTGACAAATTAATCAAATGTACACATTATGTTTCACTCTTTGAATAAAATGTTTTTAATTTCTGCACAAATTTGTATTAAATAATCCAATAGACACCCCTGGAGATGACTGATGTGGAGACTTTCTAAACATTACGGAGTGGCAGGAAGCCTTTGATTCTTAGTATTATGGAATATTCTATAGTTCTAAAGTATCATGCCTACTGTTAAAAAGGGGAAGAATGGATATATAATACAGATAAGGAAGGACTATCAATTGAAGAAGAAAAAATAACAACAATAACAACAGAGTTACAGACATGAAACAGCACTGTGGCATTGAGTAGTGAACACTAGAACTTTTTTTTTTTTTTTCATATTCATTTGGGAAATATAGGGAAACCTAATCCATGCTTTAAAAGCTCCTTTTTCAGAAAAGTGATGGCTAGCTCCTTTGCACACACATGAATACTCATAATAAGTTTGTAATGCACACACAACTGCTATAGAAACCAAGCAATAAGGCTATGACACTTCTGCAAGATACACTATAAAATAAGCATGCTAGCTAGAAAGAAACTATGTAAAATGCTTATGTTTGGGGTGTTGAGAAACAGATTTTTTCATTAGCAGTAGAGAAAAGATCTTTGGATCATTCTTAAGAGTTGAGTACTAATTGATTAATGTGCAAAAGAACCTTTTCATTGCTCTTTAGATGGAGGAGAAATAAAAGGCCAAACGCAGAACATATATCTTGAGAAACTATCCTTCAGAAATGGAGTCATCTAAAGAATGAGACTGGAAAATTATTCCACATAGAAGGGAGCATGATATTCAGTATCAGAACAGCTTTCACTTTTATTATTATTCCAATTCCACTAATTGTGTTTTGCACCTAAGTTGGCCACTTTTCTTCTTCATGATTTAAGCCCTGTCCAATTGCAATAAAATAGCATCTAATATGAAATGCTCCACAGTGCTATTGTTTGTAGTTCTGCAGTTTTCTTGGCAATATTTCAGGAGTGGTTTGCCACTGCGTCCTTCCTAGAGCCAAAAGAGAGTGACTGGCCCAAAGTCACCCAACTGGCTTTGTGCCTAAGGCAGAACTAGAACTCAGTTTCCAGTTTCTAGCTTAATGCCTCAACCATTATACCAAACTGGCTCTCATTCCAATTTTAGGAATCCAAACTGTTTCCAAGACCATGTGGAATCACACTTATGTCACCCAAATGTTGCCAATCTCAGTAATTTGAAAATGTTTTCTAATTTCTTGTCTTCCGTGTTACTGTCTCTTGGAATGGCTACATCAATAAAACAACAATGATTATTTTCAATTTCAATAATATTTGGTGTCCCAGGTGTCAATTTAAATGTTAAAATCCTATATGCTCTGTTGTTTTCCATGATTTTATTTGTGGATCTGTACTTTCTACAGAAGTGCCAGTGTAATGTCTTCCCAACTCCATCATGCCTTTTTCGTCATTAGTCTGTCCAGTTCTGCTATGCCTAATTATTATAAAGTCAACTATTTGATCCCTATTTCAGCACAACAAACATTTACTATCCAAACTGATCTCCATTTTTACCTTGGTGATATTTATGACTAGTGCTTTTCCTTGGGCAACACTCCTCCTATTTCTTTTTTAATGTACCATTCTTAAGCCATTACCATGATCTTTCATTCCCACATTTTCCTTCAGCATCTTTAAAAAAAAATGCCCACAATGACCTTTAGTTTTCCAATGTTCTAACATTATTTCAAGCTGTTTGTTTTGTTTTTTTATGCTATAAAGGACAATTTGCGTACTGTAATTAAAACTAATCAGAAAAATGATATGGGAAAGGGAAATAATTAATTAGTTTGATGGGAAGAAAAGAATCTTTTCAATACTCTGTAAGAAATCTGCATGTGAATACACAGTCTAGTATTCTTTACCTTCTAACATCATGGTGGATTCTCTTTTCCCTAAGAAAAGAATCTATAGCCTACGGCCACTTTCTGAAGTTGATACCCTCCAGGTGTTCTGGCCTGATATTCTGCTAATTTCCAGCCTGAATTCTGGGAACTGTAGTCTATCCTTTTTGAAAAGCAACGGGATACTGAAAAAGGCCGTGCTTTTTATTTAGATCAGAAGTGCCATCCTTTAATGCTAGGCACATGCAGTTACAGTAAAGGAAAAATCTCCACCAGAGACGTTGGATTCTATTACAGGTAGTCCTCAACTTACAACCTCAATTAAGCCCAACATTTCTGTTGCCAGCAAGACATTTGTTAAGTGGAGTTTGCTCCATTTTATGACCTTCCTTGCCACAAATGTTAGGTGAATCACTGCAGTTGTTAAATTAGTAACACAGTTGTTAAGTGAATCTGGCTTCCCCACAGATTTTACTTGTCAGAAGATTGCAAAAGGGGATCACATGACCCTGGGACACTACAACAGTCATAAATATGAATCAGTTGCCAAGTGTCTGAATTTTGGTCATGTGACTATGGGAATGCTGCAGTACCATTGTAACTTTGAACATTCATTAAACTGTTGTAAGTCGAGGACTATCTGTGTTACATGGGATAGACATTCTTTTGCTTGAAACCAGTGGAAGAGCAGAGTTGGGATAGTTCCCAGCTGCAAAGAAAGAGATGGCCTTGAATACTTATTCATGCTTGCAGCAGGGAATCTGCGCTTACTTACATGTTTAGTGCTTCTGCAAAGCAAAACCTAAAATTATGATTTACATCTTTCAACTAAAGAGATAAATATCCTAATTTAGAGCAAGGCTAAATCTCAAGGCTGTAGCTGGGTAGTTGCAAAAAGAGAAGATAAGGTATCTGAAATCTCATTAACTACCACAGTGACATGCAAACACTAAGTTCCAACTCTACTTTCAAGTAGATAAATATGTTATCTAAAAAAACAAAGCATTTAAATACCAATCCTCTCTGTCTTATTAGTCTGGATTATATTGTTTAGCCAGCTTCTATTTATTGCAGTAGAAATGTTTGCAATCTCAGGAATGTGGATAAAGGCAACCACAATTAAAGAGAAAGCAGCCCAATAAGAAGGATTTCCTGTAAACAGGCTAAAATTGGATTTGAGGGAACTAACACCATGCTGTGAAGATTTAATTAAATGTTAATTCTTTGGCATGAGTTCAAGGGTAAATACTCTGGGGCATGAAAAATTAAAGGACTTTCTTTAATGAATTTTGAGCTTGATATATACTCTGACTGAAAATGCCACATGAATTTATTTTTAAGTGAGAGATGGCAGATCAATCCTTCCAAAAGGAATGTAGCAATAGAAATAGGCAAAGTCTCCATGAAACTGTATTAAAACACATTTAAAACAAAATATATTCTAACTGCAGCAGAGACCATCTATATACATTCCATTTGCAGCCGTTCAGGTACACCAAGAAAGTGTCAAGTGATAAGGAGGTTTGAAAATTTGGGGAAGTCCAAATCTTTGCTCCCAATTTAGTAGCTCTTGAGGTCAACTGCAGCTCTGAACATGGCTTGTTCTAGACATTTTATATTTTTCCCAAGTTATCATTCATTCATTTTATTTTATACTGCTGAACCAATCAGGATTCATGACGGTTTATAGCAGGGCTGTCAATTCATGGCCTGCAGGCAGGATGTGTCACACGCTGGCCACACCCACACCCAGTATAGCAAAGGGGGAAAACATCGTGATATGTCACGTGACACCACCATGATGACACAAGTTTGACACTCCTGGCATCCAATAAAGCATACAATCAGTTAAAATGTACATGAGAAGCCTCATTAAAATCAAATTGTAACCAGTATAGAATAGCAATAAATGGATGGCAATGGAACTTAGTGGTTAATTTAAAATTTAAAATGGAAAAAATTAACTAGTCACCAAATGCAGAACAGAAGAACATAAGAATGATTTGGACAAAGAATCTGGCTATTTTATAAGTGAGTAATTCTGAAATAACAGCACGTAGTCCTTGCACTGTATTGACTTGTTTGGTTAGGGAAAAACTAGCATGCATAATTACATTATTATTATGTACTTTATTTCAAGAATAATTATATCTAATGTTATAATTAGGGCCACATAATCTACTTTATGTGGCCCTGTGCTTGTCCGTATCATAACTAAATAGGCATTGAGTTCAAAATAGCTGCTTTTGATTTATATTTTAAAAAAAACTTTCTTGAACAGTTTTACAACAATCTCAGTAGAACCCTAGATAGGGAATTTTTAAAAATCCAAGAAAAAGGCAAAGTTAGCAGATATCGCATGATAAGAAAACCACATAGATGAGTCACCTAGAGTTGAGCTTGACTTAAAGGGCCCTTTACCTTATAAGGCTGTCAGTCTCAATGTCCAGATAATAACAACTGGGTGGTAAAAGTATACTTTGCTCAAGGCAATCTACTGGCAAAAGAATCTTTTAGCCAGAAACTGTATGATTCACACTGTTCCCACCTTTCAGCTGCACAGCAGGAAGATTGCATCAATTTGTACCCAGTTAATCTTGCACATCACTATGGCTCTGGTTGGAGTAAAGACCATGGCATTTGAGAACATCTCCTGCATTGGGCTAATTGGCAACATGGGTTCTGGGGTTTGAGAGCTGTATAAAAGTATGGCCCCTTTTTCTAAGAAAAGTAGTACAAAGGCAAAGCAAACATTAATGAACCAGACCATTACTAGAATCCATCTGACTTTGTCAAAGGCTTGAGAATTAATTGCTCAAGCTGTGCAATTT